TCGGAGGCTTGGCGCGTGCTAACTCTACACACATACATTTGCACTGCCTAAAATACTTGCTCCCACTTAAGCCTGTTCCCGAATGCCTCTGCTTTACAAAGAGAACGAAAACGAGCGGAATTATAGCACGCAGCTCGAAGTCCAGGGGTACATTATCAAACGTAATGTACTGTAGCGAGCCATTCCCATTGATTTAAGTGTGGTTTGAATCTATACGATTACATTTGTTTGAATCAGGCTCTGCGAGAGAGAATGGTATTAAATTTTAGGCACAATAATTTTTGAAATTAAAAAAAATTTAATAAAATTTCACCTTCCTTCGCAAATAAATAACGATAATGTAAATTGGGAACATGGGTAAGCTAACAAGCGCAGCTACAACATAACCGAGAGGTTTTTGACGGAGATCACTTCCAGATGCCACATTATTCGTAAAATTTCTCCCTGTCTCTCGAAAAAGCTCTTCTTTGAGTTCATCTACATTACATTCCGAAACCAGTGCACAAACCTGGAAACCGGAAGTTTCAGACATGTTGCCTGAGACAGCAAACTGAACAAAAACTGGATAACAAACGGCTTATTATATTTAGATTAGCCATTATTTCATAGGGTGGTTATCCAAGTGTACAGGTGGCAGATTTTTGACTTGCTTTGACCAACTCTGCAACGCCTGACGGTCAGTCCTGCTGGCGATGATATCGGGTTAAGGATTTACTGGCTCAACGGATCTCTCGTTGGGAATACTTGGCAGGACTTCGTTCATTTCGAGAGATGTCTTCTGTTTATGTTAATTATTACCAGTTTGCCCAGTGCATTGACAATCACAGGTCTATCCTAAAGTACCTCGGACAATCCCAGGACTGTTTTGAGGTATTTGGGACTAAAAGATTAAACTGTTATTGCTTGTTTTTGTGTGGAGGCATGCATCAGTTACGACTTTTAATGAAACAAATGTTAAAAAAAACACTTCTGAAATCGAAAAGCAGAAAAGAGTAAAAACGGCTTGCTGAAAAAGTCGCCTGTTTCCATTTCTATCATTCCAATACTCGTAATTTTTTCAACAAAAATTTATTATGGTGCTAGCCAGCACGCCACAGTGGTACTGTTGCCAAGCAGTAGGTCAACGATTCCGATTCGCCGCTGGGAAAATAATCAAAACCTTTCACGATTTGTTAATTCGTTTCGATGGTAAATTGGTAATGGCATATGTCTGGCAGGTAAATTCGTCATTAGACTGCTTGTAAGCAACATCGAAAGAGGAAGCCATCGACAGCCTTGCCAGCGGATCACTGCCGCTGGCATTGCTACTACTTGGAACACTACGCAAAATGCTTTTACATCTGACACAGAGCGAATGTGGAAGGGTTTTGGCCTTTAGGTTTTGAACAAGAATTTAAAAATTAATTAACCAGTTGCACGATTCCAATGGAGTCAACAAATAAGCAAATGATGAGAAGTGTTCTTTTCGTGACTGCGCCATATTTGATCACATAGTATCGATACGTAAATGAAAGGAGAATGGAAACCATGGACAGAAACGACATAACGAGTGCCATCTGCTGAACGATGAAAACAACAGATGAGCCCAGATAACGCACAACGCCGAGAGCTATGTAGAAAAAAATTGTACCATGTGTCACTAATCTGAAATTGCGACTGTTTTCATATCACTGCGTAGAAGCGTATTAATTTTGTCTCTCGAAAAAATGACCTCTTTGTCAGTGTGGGGGGTGCTGGGGAAGCAGCTTGGGTATTTTCATGTGCCAACGGCAATCACCTGTTCGCAAGCTTATTGGGAGCTGCCTTTTTTGAGGGGGCTGCTTATAAGCAAGCTAAATGGAAGCCAAAAAAAAATGTGTCAAATTCACCAGCTACTTCTCCAGCCCTTGCGTTTTTATTCGTCTAACTCAAAATGAAAATTCAAAAGTTCCTAAAAAACAAAATATGAGCTAAAATTTTTGTTTTTGTAAGGTTTCGAATTTTGTTTTTAAGTTAAACAAATGAGAACGAAAGGACTGAAAAAAACCTAAAAGAGAATTTAAAAAAAAATAAAAAACAAATTTACTTTTGCTTAACTCAAAACCTTTGAACAAAAAGTTTTTAAATTGCGACAACAACTTTAAATTTGTGGGACAATGAATCCCAGGCGACAAAGCATTTCGTGGGAGTTTAGATATCAGTAATTTCAAACGAAAGTGCAATATTTCGAAAGATTATTCGCACGTATAGATATTCATTTTCTAGCTGTTAGCATTAATAGCAACATTATTGAAGCATCAAAGACCAAGTGGAAAAAATCTGCTGGCTTTCGAAAAATCATCCAAAAGACAACTTTGAGTGTGGGCAGTATGGCCTAACAGTCGAAAAAATGCATGAAAATTTCGAAACTTAAAGTAATTTAGATAGTAGAGAAGGCTTTGGTATTCTGATCTGCCGTAGTTCACATTTTAGTACCGTGTGCTCATTCCAGCTAATTCGGTCAACGCTGCATTGCTTAGTGGTTAGCCCGCTGGCGATTCGAGCATTTGGTACTTCTCACGAAACGACTATCAGCTCAAATGCTCTCATGACAGAAGCACCTGGCGCGGCTTTGTCGGTTTTGAACTGTCATGGGCGCGTATTACCATTCCAGATATTAATGAAAAGGGCACGTTACTTCTCAGTCTAATAACTAAAATCAAAAAAAAAAAAATTAAGTAATAAAACTATCAGTCACTGTACCTTGGTTGTTCCAGTGTCAGAAGTATTGACTTCAGGAGATCAATAACAGTAGTATTTCCAAGCAGAATGCGGTATTCCTTGATTCGTCTGGTACCTCGATTCACAATCATGTACAATAGTAAACAATTGGAGAATATACCCAACAAACCAGTTAAATAGAATAAATTCGAAAAGACCTTGTCCAACAATAACTCATTATTAATTATTGATGACATGTTTCTGCAATGAATGAATTGTGGGCAAAAACTGAGCACGATAAACGCAAGTCGGACGCAGAGCGACACAACTTTAGAAAAATAACTGAAAAATCCTTGAAGGGATGGTTTAGGTACAAACTTCGATAAAGTGCGTTGAAAGTTTAATTTTGTTTTATGTGTCAATTTAGCGCAAACTGTGGACTTAGAGAATTTAAATGGCTAATTCATTGGGTTAGAAAACAAGCCTATGCGCCTCCATTCATTCGTTAAGCATCATGATTACTGGTGAAGAAACAATATACCAACAAGTATTTGCTGGTTCATGTGCATAATTTTATAAGTCTAACAAAATGTTAATTTGTACGCAACTAAAAGAACTTTTTTTGAGGAAAAAATCATATTTGCAATTGGGGACAATGGCCATCAGCAGCTTTTACACAGCCCCGTAATAAAATAACTTTTCATCAAAGTGAGGCGCCCAAATGCTATTTAGAAGAGTGAAGCACCACTAGACGGAAAATTTTTTCAAATTAAAAACGTTTA